TTGCTCCCACAGTTGATTTGTTCACAACAAGCTGCTTGCCTATTGCAGATTCAGTCTTCCCAGCCTGGTGCAGGTCTACAATTTTGTTTCTGGTGTCCTTCGACAGCTCTTTGGTCTTCACTATAGTGGAGTTTGGAGTGTGACTGTTTGAGGTTGTGGACAGGTGTCTTTTATACTGATAACAAGTTCAAACAGGTGCCATTGATACAGGTAATGAGGGCAGGACAGAGGAGTCTCTTAAAGAAGAAGGTACAGGTCTGTGAGATCCAGAAATCTTGCTTGTTTGTAGATGACCAAATACTTATTTTCCACCATAATTTGCAAATAAATTCTTTCCAAATCAGCCAATGTGATTGTCTGGATTTGTTTTCTCATTTTGTCTCTCATAGTTGAGATCTACCTATGATGCCAATTACAGGCCTCTCTCATCTTTTTAAGTGGGAAAACTTGCACAATTGGTGGCTAACTAAATACTTTTTTGCCCCACTGTATATCATGAGTTGTAGATTTAGTCATTTTTAGCAGGGGTTTCCTGAGACTGGAAAGTTATTTCAACGGTTCCTTGTGTTGGTAAGCTTGAGAAACGCTGCTTGAAAGTGTAACTAAAGGCAAAACTTTATATTTCATTATGGATAGAGTAATGGAGAGTTAGAACCCCTGTCAGGTTTTTTCCATCTGTGTCCTATTGAGGAGATTTACTTTCACTGTCTGTCCCATTGCCAGAACAGGAAGTGAGAGGAAATCCCTGCAAATTAAAGGAATCCCTTAGTGTTCCCTAGGTCAACCGGACCAGTGTCCTCATTGGAAAATGTCCCCTTACTGGGGACAACCAAAAATTTAGGATTTTATTTAATTTCACTTTCAATGATAAGGACAAATAGAAAGGGTTAATTTCCCTAACAGGGGGAACAGACAGTGATAAAAACCTAATAGGTGTTCCAATACCTCTCCACCCTATCCAAAAATAAAAAAGTTTTTCCTTTATGCAGGCCATAGATGGGGAGAAAAACGGCCGATTTTTCGTCCGAAAATAAAACCGGCCGATTATCTTATCGTTAGTGGACGATTTTGTCGGCCGTTTTTTCGTGTATTTTGGACTTTCAGATTATCGGTGATGTTGGAAAATTTTCGAAAAACGCCCGACTTTATCCTCATTGATGGTCAAAAACGAACGATCGTTTTCCGAAAAAGGATCACAAAGGCCACAAAATGACATCATTTCCCGTTATAGGTTACTCATTAATCGGCCGATTTTCGTAATAATTGGTGGTCAGGTAAGTTTTTTAGACCGACCGATAGTTCGTTAATCGGCCGAAAATCTGCCGTTTTTCTCCCCATCTATGGCCTGCATTTAGTTATACTTTAGGTAAATAACAAATATCTTTATAAATGTCAAATATTGAATGCAAATAGTATAAAAAAATCACACACATTTAGAAATATCCTTCTTCCACCAATAAAAAATACAACGGTATAGAAGAAGGGTATTTATATATGTGTGTGATTTTTTTTTTTGTACTATTTTCATTCAAGACTTTGACATTTATAAAGTTATTTTGTATTTACTTAACTTAACATAGTTGTTTTTGATACATCATGTGTGTCCTGTGAAGTCGGTTTCCTTTTGATTGGTATTCCAGTTACTTTTTTTCTTTTGTATTAAAACATTTGCTGCAGGGACCATGCTGACTTAGCTAGTTGGCATATTTCTATGGTTTAAACCATTTTACCGCTTTATTAGCAATAAAAACTGACAGGGATTCTAATTCTTCTCCACTGTATCCATCCCACTGGATATCGCAAGAGATAAAATACTGCATGGATTCATGAGATTAATACCGCATATTTCAGAAAAAATACTGCATGTGGTATTTTAGAAGCATTTTTTGTGAATGCCAATAAACTTTTTGAAAAATGCGAAGCGACACTTTACCACATTTCTTAAACTGCTTTGTGAATGGGGCCCTCTGTCTGTTTGTTCTTTTGTTAATTCCTAATGTTTGAGAATATCCTGCACCTTTTTCTTCTCCTGTTTAAACTCTGCAATAAATCCACACAACAACATCCCCTAGACTGAGCATACTTATTCGGTGTGCTTGGAACTGTGTCTGGGCCTGGTAGACTCTGTAGTCTAGCAAGGTAGACCTGGTTATTCCTTCGGGGGAGAGCACTACATACTACATACTACTACACACAAATTAGGAGTCATTAATTAATTTTCTCTTTGATAAAGCAGAATTGACTATGCTTTTACAAGATCCTTTCTTTTTTTTTTTCTTTCTCTAGATCATGTTTTTTCAGCTAGGATTCCTGCACAGGTTTCTCTAAGGATTCCTTGAGCATTTCCTGACCCTCAGATAAGTAGCTACTGGCACCAATGATCTTTTTAGCTATCTGTAAGGGATTCATTCCTACCACTGACTAGTAATGTAAGGAGTTTTTTTTCCACTGATCACCAGTGTAATAAAGCCCTCCTTCAATGTATTCTTCCAATAACCACCACAAATGTGATGGGTTCCTTCTCCCACTGATCACCAAGATAAGATGATTATTAACATTGTAGCCCTGTTTTGGGGGGGGGGGGGGTTATGTGAAATGGCCCACACCAACACAAGCTATGGCGCTAACCTGTATATGAGTAGGCAATCCTGAGCCTTCGCTATATGGAAGAGGGGGTTGTGATAATACAAATGGCAGTGCCTCCACCTAGAATAGGGATCCTGCAATTGAGGAAACTCACCCCTTTCTAGGAATGTAACAGGTAGACAACTGTAAAGTAACTAGACAACTTAAAGTAACTATACATAGCAGTATTAATGCACCCAGCTTATATTTCTAGCATGATAAACATGTCACCACACCTGTATGAGATTAATGCAAAGTTTATATAAAGCAGCCACATAAAACAGGATGCATAAGAATAACATTCAGGAATTACAATTTAGCATAAATTGGGAGGTTGCAATTATACCTGGGTATATGTGCATGTAGTATACCGAATACCTCCAACCATGGGTTATAGCACAGTCCGGTTGCAGGGGCCCCTGGAGAGGTGAGAGTCATGCACGCTTCCACTTTAGATGCTGTGATGACGTCCAAGTAACATGCGGATGATTGCACTGCTTGTCTGAAGATCAGCGATGCATCACCTAAAAGGATAAAATGCCCTATCTAGCCTTACTCTTAGTCCCTATCCCTAAACTGGGCTGTCACTGCAACCGGGCCTCTATCTGTCTAAGTGGCCATCGGATGCCTAACCTACCTCTAGCCTAATCTATCCAACACTCCCTATGCTAATCCTAGCTAAAGAGAGATCCAGACCAATAAGGTTATTTAAGCAAAGAGGCTGCAAAGATACACTGCAATTAATAGAAAGTTCACCTGACAGTCTTATGCAGGTAAAACACTGATATATATATATATATATATATATTATATATATATATATATATATTTAGACAACTATAAGGATTCTGCAGTGTGTAAATAGAATAATGATAATGAACCACAAATCTCTCTCTCTTACAGAGTTATTAGGGTTCCTATACAGAAGTTGAAATATAACTGAGGCAGACCTAATCTGCTTCAGTAACAACTACATAGATAACAGCCTTGTTAATCTGGATCATTACTCACAGAATCACCATACAGTTCTCCCCAGATACACAGCACATGGTAGGCTGGAACCCTCTGCCTGATACTTCCTGGAAAAACAAACTATATAACATCCTGGGGTTTCTTGACCTCCTTGTAGGGGCAGGAAGCACACCTAGGGACTTGTCTGTAATGGGACCTCTATGGTACTGGCTGTATATGAACATAAACAAACCACAACTAGTGTATAAAATAACAGTTCCCTACAACATTATTACTGAAAGTCATTACAATATGTCATATAAAGCAAACCTGGGTGTTATGTGTGTCACATCCCTTATTCCTCTCTTTTTTCCTATATCACAACTTACTGTTCACACAAATGTACTATGAGCTAATCCCTTCATGCCTAAAGCTAAAACAAATCTTAACACCTAAGCACAATTTTGCAACTTTGACATGTGTTAGCAATACCATCCATATCATCACAACTACTTTGTGCATCCAGGTGGATAATACCTTGTTTTTTTCAGGACAAATTGGGCTTTCAGTTGATGGTAAATGGTAATGGATATCTCCTGATTTATTTTTTATTACCAAAGGAAAACTGTCTCAAAATAGTAAAAAAAAAAAACCTTTTTTAAATGTAGCTGTATATTTCTTGCTACTACCATAACCTACCACCAAAGAATCACCCAAAATAATTTATTATGCTCCTGACAATCGCAATGATACCACGTGTGTATGTTGTTGCTGTTAGTATCCGTAGTACAGCCCAGAAACCATAGTGCGCAATTTGCTTTTTTTTATTCTGCCACAAACTGACACTGATACTAATTTAAAAATTAAAAAAAAAAACTGCCCCCCCCCAAAAAAAAACTGACCCTGATCCTGACCCCGACCTTGACCAAAACACCAAACTAAACCTTGATCTACTTATTTTTCTTTATGTTTTTATTATTTTTTCTTTATTCATTTTTTTTAATTAATTTATTTTTTACACACTATCGGGTTGAGGTCAGGACTCTGTACAAGCCAGTCAAGTTCCTCCACCGCAAACTCGCTGATTTATGTCTTTATAAATCTTGCTTTGTGCACTGATGCACAGTCATATTGGAACAGGAAGGGGCCATCCCCAAACTGTTCCCACAAAGTTGGGAGCATGAAATTGTCCAAAATGGTATGCTGATGCCTTAAGAGTTCCCTTCACTGAAACTGAGGTCCCAAGCCCAACCCCTGAAAAACAACCCCACACCATAATCCCTCCTCTACCAAACTTTACACTTGGCACAATGCAGTCAGGTAAGTACCGTTCTCCTAGCAACCTCCAAACCCAGACACGTCCATCAGATTGCCAGACAGAGAAGCGTGGTTTATCACTCTAGAGAACATGTCTTCACTGCTCTAAAGTCCAGTGGTGGCATTACCGCCACTGCATCTGATGCTTTGCATTGCACTTGGTGATGTAAGGCTTGGAGGCAGCTGTTCGGCCATGGAAACCCATTCCATGAAGTTCTGTACTCACCTTTGTTATGCTAATCTGAAGACCACATTTTGGAGGTGTTTAAGTATTGACAGTTGGCAACTTCTGCGCACTTCTGCGCACTTCAGCTTGCGCTGACCCCTCTCTGTCATTTTACATGGCCTACCACTTAGTGGCTGAGTTGCTGTTGTTCCCAGTTGCTTCCACTTTGTTATAATACCACTAACAGTTGACTGTGAAATATTTAGTAGCAAAGAAATTTCACAGATGGACTTATTGCACAGGTGGCAACCTATCACGGTACCATGCTTGAATTCACTGAGCTCCTGAGATCGACCCTATACAAATGTTTTTAGAAGCAGTCTGCATGCCTAGGTGCTTGATTTTATACACCTGTGGCCATGGAGGTGATTGGAACACCTGAATCCAATGATTTGGAGGGGTGTCCCAATACTTTTGGCAATATAGTGTATTTTTAAAAATGTAGTATTAGCACTTAAATGTAAATCTATATGGATTTTAAACAAGATGAAAACCTGAAGGTTATACTGTTAAATAAACTGTTAACATTAACACTTTAGATATCAGAAATAAAGAAATAAGTAAGCTTTATGTTATATTTTTTCACCCTTTGTACTTGTAAGTAATATAGTAATGACATGGATATGGCTAATACATTTTACACAGTATTTTCACCATTTCTATTTTAAGGCTGAGATTAAAACTTTTTTTCAACATTTTAAAGCTTACAGTTTGAATAATCGGTAATGGTGGAAAGCTTCATAATTAAATATTCAGTTTTTCTGTTCTGTCCAAATAATATGATGATTATAAAGGCCAGAGTGATATTTCTGTTCTTTTACCCCTGCATGGATATGGCTTATACTTAATTATATAGATATTTTACCATTTCCAGTTACATAAGCTGATAAGCTTCACGATTTTGATATCAAGTTTAAATCTTTGTTTTAAGATAGAAAGAGTGGAATAGCTGTACCATAAAATATTCCATTTTTATCAAGGTTTCTGCAAAGATAAATCAAATAAAAGGATGATGATAAAGGCCAGTATGATATTTCTGTTTCTTTTACCCTGCACGAATATGACTAAATTTAATTTTAAGCAGATGTGAAATTACATTATATGGTTCATAAAGTAATTATTATAAATATGGTTGAATCTTTTCTGTTGAATTTTTAAATTTGCAGCTTTGTAATATACTAAAACTGGTTTATCTTGTATATATGTGTGTGTGTGTGTGTGTGTGTGTATATACGAAATATATAATATGTACTATATATATATATATATATATATATATATATACCAATTAAATTGTAAGTTATAATAAAGGCTGGTTAATTGAAGTAAAGCACAGATAAAGTCTAAGGGCTGGTTCACAGCAGAAATCCTGTGTGTTCCCCTGAAGTGTGATTTGGAAGCCAATACTTTTGAAATTCACGCTGCACCAAATCACATGCTACTACTGTACTATGCAATCTGGTGTCTGTAAAAGCACTGTATTTATAATCTGCATTTTAAGTGCAATTAACAGTGTTTTGGCAAATTGCAAAGATTTTTGCATTTTGTGCAATTTTGAACACGGTGTGGGAAACGCACACATAACGCATCTTTCCTGCACCACGTTCTTGTGCAAACCGGCCCCTAATAAAGGATATTTAGTTTTCTAAAACACTGTGTAGGAAATTCAATAAAGTCTTGACAACAATTTTCTAGTGGTAGGTCCCTTTACAACTACTTGTGCCTAATGGATGGAGGAATGGATCTACCCACTGATATGCTCTGTCAATCAACAGCAAGGTAAACTCATGGGGAACTAGCCTCTCAGTTTCATATCATGCTCCACCTACTCTTATGACAAAACTTCATAGCCTAACACTGTGTCAGGTACAGTGGCTAGGAAGGGAGTGCACCTAAGAAGCACAGATCATTGCATAAAATTAATATTATTTATGCCTTGATACATATCACTCAGATTGTCTATTTGCACATACAGGTGAAACTCGAAAAATTAGAATATCATGCAAAAGTTCATTTATTTCAGTAATGCAACTTAAAAGGTGAAACTAATATATAAAATAGACTCATTACATGCAAAGCAAGATAGTTCAAACCGTGATTTGTCATATTTGTAATGATTATTGCTTACAGCTCATGGAAACCCGAAATCCACAATCTCAGAAAATTAGAATATTGTGAAAAGGTGCAATATTCTAGGCTCAAAGTGTCCCACTCTAATCAGCTAATTAAGCCATAACACCTGCAAAGGGTTCCTGAGCCTTTAAATGGTCTCTTAGTCTGGTTCAGTGGGAATCACAATCATGGGAAAGACTGCTGACCTGACAGTTGTGCAGAAAACCATCATTGACACCATAAGGAGGGAAAACCTCAAATGGTAATTGCAAAAGAAGTTGGATGTTCCCAAAGTGCTGTATCAAAGCACAGTAATAGAAAGTTATGTGGAAGGGAAAAGTGTGGAAGAAAAAGGTGAACAAGCAGCAGGGATGACCGCAGCTTAGAGAGGATTGTCAGGAAAAGGCCATTCAAAAGTGTTGGGGCTGGAGTCAGTGCATCAAGAGCCACCATACACAGACGGATCCTGGACATGGGCTTCAAATGTCGTATTCCTCGTGTCAAGCCGCTCCTGAACAACAAACAACGTCAGAAGTGTCTTATCTGGGCTAAAGAAAAACAGACCTGGTCTGTTGCTCAGTGGTCCAAAGTCCTCTTTTATGATGAGAGCAACTTTTGCATCTCATTTGGAAACCAAGGACCCAGAGTATGGAGGAAGAATGAAGAGGCACACACTGCAAGATTCTTGAAGTCCAGTGTGAAGTTTCCACAGTTTGTGTTGATTTGGGGAGCCATGTCATCTGCTGGTGTTGGTCCACTGTGCTTTATTAAGTCCAGGGTCAACACAGCCATCTACCAGGAGATTTTGGAGCACTTCATGCTTCTTTCCGCAGACGAGCTTTATGGGGATGCTGACTTCATTTTCCAGCAGTACTTGGCACCTGCCCACACTGCCAAAAGCACCAAAACCTGGTTCAATGACCATGGGATTACTGTGCTTGATTTGCTAGCAAACTCGCCTGACCTGAACCCCATAGAGAATCTATGCGGCATTGCCAAGAGAAAGATGAGAGACATAAGGCTGAACAATGCAGAAGAGCTTAAGGCCGCTATTGAAGCATCCTGGTCTTCCATAACACCTCAGCAGTGCCACAGGCTGATAGCTTCCATGCCACGCCACATTGAGGCAGTAATTGCTGAAAAAGGGGCCTAAACCAAGTACTGAGTACATATGCATGCTTATACTTTTCAGTGGTCTGATATTGTTCTATGTACAATCCTTCTTTTATTGATTGCATGTAATATTCTAATTTTCTGAGATTGTGGATTTGGGGTTTTCATGAGCTGTAAGCCATAATCATCACAATTATGAAAAATCACGGCTTGAACTATCTTGGTTTGCATGTAATGAGTCTATCTCATATATTAGTTTCACCTTTTAAGTTGTATTACTGAAATAAATTAACTTTTGCACGATATTCTAATTTTTCGAGTTTCACCTGTATGTTGAAGTTTCACTTATTGATTTGTTCATATTTGGTATTGCCCAGCAGGGTATCTAGTCTGTTTGGATATTTTCATTCACTTGTGTTTGGTTATTCTCTAGGTATGCACTTATATCACTTTAGTTAGGGGCTCTGTCAGGTGTTAACTGTTTGCTTTATCGTTAGATTTAGTGAGTAGCGCAGCACTGTTTATCTATTCATTTTTTTTTTCTATTCAGGGAACTCCGCTGACAGCTGATGACACAGTGGCTGCCTACTCCTTGACAACCTATGACAGTTACTGATAGATACCAGTACATACTGCATGCCTCGACTGCTACTTAATTACTGCATGCATGTAATTATTTATTACCTTTTGTGAATTGACTTTAAGGTCTTTTTATGTGGTATTTACCAAGTATTTTTGCTATTTTTGGTAAATAACGCACACTGCAATAGTGAGTTAACATTTTCAGTATTGCATGCGATATGTGGTCACGTGACCAACATAATGCATGCAATAACTTTTAGTGAATTATGACCAGAATGTTGTTATGAGTTGTTATGAGAGATGACCCAAACTGTTTTGGATTAAAGGGAGAACTCTTGCAAGAAAACAAGAAACAAATGTGTGAGGTGCCTCAGGTAATAACTTTTGGGCATGGGATGGACTTTTGGGGGATCCCCAAAAAACATGCACATCTCTATCCAAGCATGCAGTCTGGCTGGCCAGTAAAGGGTGGGGATGAGTATGCCCACTTCTGAACCAAGCATTTAATTCAATATGGGGTACCTTGCCTGGGGTAAAAAATTCTGACCATACCATTATTTGTGCATGCAGCCTGGAAGGCAAGGAAAGGGGGGAGGGCAATTAACATGTGCCCTCCATCCTGAGCCATCTCTTCACATGTATTCAAGGTGGAGTGGGTACCTTGTCGTGGGGACCTTGAGTCAAAGCGCCTTGTTGATGAATACAAAGGTCACATTTCCACAAACCTAGCCTAGTGGTTGTGAGGGTTTACTGCTGGGGGGATTTTTAGCATCTGGGAGCCCCCTTTAACAATAGGGGGGCACTCAGGTAACGGCCCCCAATGTAGATGAGTAAAGTGTATATAAAGAAATGTAACCTAGGAATAAGGACACTCAAACTTTTGACAAATCCTTTGTTAAAGTAGAAACTTTGGAAAAAAATTGCAGCAGGTGCCGTTTCTTGGCAATCACTGACAGCAGGAATCTGTCATTTATAGACGCAGTGGAGATAACATTTCTAAATGATTTTTGGCTACCACCGAACAGGGGGAAAAAGTTCAAATGCTCAGATGAACACCCGTACAGCCAAAGCTCAATCTGATCCTAGGTTCAGACTGAACCTTTGGCTCATCCCTACTTGTCACCCTGTAACAGAACCACTAGATGTAATTTAAATGAGACCTGCAAGAAGTAAGATGTAAAATGATTTCTGATTACCTTTTTAACCAGTTCCGCGTTGCCCTATTGCAGAAATACTGCTATAGGGTGGCACAGGTGCGCTAAATTATGTCTATATACATGATTTTGTAGTTTCAGGTAGGGGACGTGCGAGTGCCCTAACCACGGCGCTATTCGCGGCCTCCACTGTCAATCACTGGATCCCGGGCAGTGATTACTCGCCAGCACCCAGTGATCGCTGAGTTTCTCTGACAGGGGAGAGACCTATATGT